TCTTACCTTGGTAACCAACACTTCCAGAGTGGTGTTGGCGTCACCTTGGTGACGAATACGCCCAGGGTGGTGGTGGCCGCACCATAGTAACCAACACGCCCAGGGTGGTGGTGGCCGCACCATAGTAATCAACACGCCCAGGGTGGTGGCGGCCGCACCATAGTAATCAACACGCTCAGGGTGGTCGTGATCCGTGCCTTGGTAACCAACACGCCCAGGGTGGTGGTGGCCATAACTTTATAACCAACAAGCCCAGGGTGGTGGTGGCGATACCTTAGGACGAACACGCTTAAGGTGGTGGTGGCCATACCTTGGTAATCAACAGGTCCAGGGTGGCAGTGACCTCTACCGTGGTAACCAGCGAGCCGAGTGTGGTGGTAGTCATACCTTAGTGACGAACACGCCCAGCGTGGTGGTGGCCATACCTTGGTGACGAACACGCCCAGGGTGGTGGTGGCCAGCTCGGGCGCCGAGCTGCCTGCCGCCAGGAACGTGGCGCCGGCCACGTCCTCGCTGAGCTGGAGCGTGTTCGCCGTCACCTGGAGTAGACCCAGTGACGTCAGCAGTGTTGTCAACGGCCCTGGCGCGCTTGGGCGAGGGACTAACAGCTTCGGAAACAGCGATGTTGACACTGAAGTGGGTAGGTCCGTGGTGAGTCGGCATCAGCGACCGGGAAGGGGTGGAGCGCGTCCGGGCATGCTGGAGAAGTTCTGGAATGGCGCTTAACCGAATGCCATTACACTTAACTTAAAAAAGCAGAATGCATTTTAACACCATGCTAAAAAGGCGAGCGATTTATAAGCACATTGGGATGACCTATATTGATGACAACATGCAAATCGTCGAGATGGATATAACTCAATATGCTGATTAGCCGAAACGTCAATTAACCAAATATCAATATGCCGGAACAGTATTTAAATTTTATTCCGGTGGGTGTCAAGGACTACATTCGACGGTATATTTCCAACGCAGAAGGTTGCTCTGGATTATGTCAAGTCTGTGATCTACCATGACCTTAAAAAGCATGGAAGATGTCTGTTGCGGTCTCTGTTATTCCCAACGCAAAAGGTTGCTCTGGATTATGTCCAGTCTGTGATCTACCATCACCTTAAAAAGAAACATGGAAGATGTCTGTTGCGGTCTCTGTTATGAAGAGATTCGAAATGAGCCTTAAAAACCACTGCCTAAGCCAAGCTATCCAGTGGAAAGCAGGTCTGGCCTTTGTATGGCATTTTGATCTCAAGTCTTTTGGTCTGGCCTTCATATTTGACCCAAGGTCAAATCAATTTATCGCAATCCTTACTTCAACTGTCTTATTGCGTAAAGAAGAACAAACTAAGGAATTATTTCAGAAATGTATGGCTTCGTTCCGTTGTCGCATCAGATTTATTTGATTTCCTAGAAATTGCCTTCACTGACAGTCCCGGCCTGCCTTTGACCTATCATAGACCATCGACCTTACAAAGCGCATCTAATTGTGTGTGCCAAAGGACGCGCTATTAAATTGCCTACAGCTAAGAAAAGTTCAGCACGGCTACGCCGCGCCGTACACAACGTATTCTGGACAAACGACTGAGGGGGTTAGATTTACTCCCTCCTTACCACAGCACGTGATAAAACTTTTATCCAACGTCTTAAAATAACTCATAGCATGGAAGCATCAGATCAAGGTGCAAACATCAATACCAGCGCAGCAGTTGTGGTAAACGGTGGCAGCTCACCTCTAAATCGCCAAGAGTGTAAATATCTAGGAAGCGGATGTTACTTTCTAAATAAACTTATAAAATTTGTTTCACTTGGCATACGTTCTGCTCCCTTCGATCGGATGATACTCGGTAAAATATTTGTGCTTGCAGCACACGAAAAATTCGCCCGGGCAGAAGGATTGTTTTCCCTCGAGTAAAATATTTTCTGGTAACAATTATTCTGCGCCCTCTTAAAGCGAAAGACAAATGTGGGAACAGCATACAGATCATGCAAACCAATACTTACCTAATGGATTGGGATTGTTGATAATGAATCGATTTCGATGTTTAAAAGGCGTCAACGTGCTCTTCAATTTTTCTTTCGTCGCGTCAGGAAGGAACCTCCTCCTTGATGTCAGTCATCAGCGCAAAAGCTTCGCACAACAGTGCTCTGCTGCACCTGACCATACACACACACACACACACACGCACGCACGCACGCACGCACGCACGCACGCACGCACGCACGCACGCACGCACGCACGCACGCACAGCACCACACACACACACACACACACACACACACACACACACACACACACACACACACACACACACACATATATATATATATATATATATATATATATATATATATATATATATATTATGTGCATAGTCGGTAATAGTTTTAGTTTTGGTTTTCTTTATAGTTTTCTACGTTTTTACTTGAACGAAAGCGTCATGCCCAGCAGTTTTGCATCACGAACGTTTCATTGTTTACCCCTAAATTATCTCCGTAAATATCAGAAAGACAAGCATCCTACATTACGTCAAACGTGGGGCGAAAATGCTGGAAATATCTGGTACTTTTGTGGACACATGACATCGCTATCCATACCGTAGATATCTTTTCAGTTTCCTTGCTCCAAGCATGTGGGCCTTTGGGAGCACTTAATGAGCACAATAAACTCGACGGAGGCTTCCGGAGCACGACAACCAGAGGTTCTGTTTTCTGCCACTAGATGACAGTTGCTCACCTCATTCAAAGGGGACGAGGTACTTCAAACGGAGCCCATAAAGGAGCTTATGGTAATAAGCTCGGGTTTTGCCATTGCCATCTGATAAAATATGGTGAAAGGAAGGGCTCGCGTGGTCTGCAGCATATCGTGCCGCCCGAGCACGGCGGCACATACATGTGAAACAATGCAGCAGGTCCCTTTCGTAAACCATTGCACGGCCCGATACTCACAGCACGCGGCTGGTATAGGCGTCTAAGCAATACTTGTCTCGGATCTTTGCTGTTGTTTTGTGGTAATGTCGCAACAGCATTTAAGGTTGCTACGAGACGCGAGCCTATGCGCTGTGGTGCCGTTTTGAGCAGGGTCGACTCTACAACCACATGCCGATTGCTGGTGCGGGGTCAAGGCTTGGTGCCGGTTCTGTTTTGAACCCTCCTGTATAAACGTAACAAACATGCCGTGCACAGAGCTTTGCAGTGAAATCCGTCCAGAATATTATGAAAAACACGCATCGTGTCCCATTGCCTCGTATTCAGTGCCATTTACTAGCAACGAACACCTCGCACCTGCCAGCATGCATCACTCCTTTCTTTGGCAAAGAGTAACTGGTGGTGTCGGTTCGAGGTCATCAACTTTATTCAAAAGGAAAGAACACAAACCAGAGACACACGTGATGGTGGCCTCTCACTGCACAGCTCGGGTACTGCTTTGCGATGGTCACCACCACTCATCACCGCCGCTCAGACCGGAGATCGGACCACCCGTCAGGACATTGACCACCCGTCACCACCACTCATCACCGCCGCTGAGACCGGAGATCGGGCCACCCGTCACCACCACTCATCGCCGCCGCTGAGACCGGAGACCGGGCCACCCGTCAGGACATTGAGCTGTGTGTGCCGCAATCTCGCACCGAGAGCTGGACAGGAGGTGCTTGACCTACCAGGATCCGGGACTGTGCGGCTCGCAGCCAGTGAAGTCGGTGCGACTTCCTGCGGCTCTGTTAAGTCGTGACCTGCTACAACAGGTCGTGAAAAGTCTGCATCTGTATGTGCATCTGGTGCAGTTCAATTTTTGGTCAGTCGTGGTAGGATGGTGTCTGTAGGCGGTGTGATTAATGGCTGTGTTTAGTCCTTGATCATTTGGCAGCTGTTGACATACCTCGTGGTCTTGTTCGATATTGGACGCAAAAAAATCGGCTTAGCTACAGACAGACATTTGCAGGATCTCGTTCTGCTTAAAATGATACTTATCTTGCTTTGCAAACGCTAGCATTTAGCAACGCTGGAATATGTCTGCACTGTTTGAAAAGGCGAAAATGTGCCGACCTATGACATGTCATAGTGGCGGTGTTTTTAGGATGCGTGATTGACGAAGCCAAGGCGTAGCATACGGCCTAGGGCGGATCGAAGGTGACCGACGTCCGGAAAGCGCATGTGTTGTCAGGCGTCGCCAACCTGAGCAGGAATCATCCGACTGACAGCGCCCTCCCTTGCAAGCCAGAGACAGTTGCAACTGGGCGGAATTGGCGTCAGTGGAGCACAGACAGGAGGGTGCCGTGCCAGCATACTGCAGAAGGCCGCACACAACAAACGCCCTCCCATGCGTCGGTCAAGGGAGAAAGGCGGCGGCCCAGCTCGACCGGCAGGCCCGACGCACACGACAGACGCAAACCCGCGCAGCGGGCGGGGGAGAAATGCGGCGGCCCAGCTCGACAGGCGACCCGGGCGCTCAGCTAGCACACGCCTTCCTGTGCGGCGGTCAGGGGAGAGAGGCGGCGGCCCGCCCCGGTCCGGCGACCCGGGACGGCTCCGCGGCTGAAGGGCTCACCATACCTCCTAGCGTTGGCGCTGTAAAAACGAAAAACCTCCGGGCTCCGACAGCCGGCCTCATAGCGACCGGACAGCTACCAGGTTCGAATTGGTGAAGACCACCAAACGCTCGTGTTATGTCCATTTGACTCGCTGGTGCCGAGCGCGCACCTGTAACGTGCAGCACATGCAAATATTCCTTACAAGTAGAACGAGATTATTTCCACTCACCTACCGTCGAGCTGCGACGCACTCAAAAAGGCAGTTTGCAGCAGAAAAACAAAAGGTTAGAGGGACTGGTGCAATCACCACGGCGCTGCGAATATGACAATACAGCCTATGTTTACTTGATACCACCGCTTAACCAGTAACCATGGTATATTTACGGTGCATATTATGAGAGCGAGAGCTCCCAGCCCACAATGCCGAGAAACCAGAAGCACGAGCCCATCCTTGTTTTCACTATGTCTACTTCATTCACCTTTTTTCATCGGAATACATCAATGACCAAGAGTGGTGACGTGCAGTGCGGCTTCGCGCACCCCAGCCGCCCACTCTCCGTCAGCACTGGTCTGAAGAATGCCATCTGTTAGGCCTCGCTAGACCCAGTTCAGTGGCGCCGGGTCAGTCTCCTCCTTTCGCCCCGGCCGGGCCAGTGAGAGGTGGCCACAGGACGCGGGGCTCCTCGGCCGACAGTCACCCAGTGGAACTCGGGCAGTCTCCCCGAGAGGTCCGGTGCCTAACCTCACTGCCCGCTGGCACCGGCACTCCCCGAGAGGTCCGGTACCTAACCTCACCACCCGCTGGCACTGGCACTCCCCGAGAGGTCCGGTACCTAACCTCACTACCCGCTGGCACCGGCACTCCCCGAGAGGTCCGGTACCTAACCTCACCACCCGCTGGCACTGGCACTCCCCGAGAGGTCCGGTACCTAACCTCGCCACCCGCTGGCACTGGCACTCCCCGAGAGGTCCGATACCTAACCTCACTGCCCGCTGGCACCGGCACTCCCAGAGAGGTCCGGTACGTAACCTCACTGCCCGCTGGCACCGGCACCCGTCAGACTGAAGCAATGCTGATGAAACGTTGCCTGAGGATGCCCCTATATTTCGCTACTCACTCAAGGCTGTCAAATTACTTGACTCACACACGGCTATCAATTCAATTGCTATTGATTTTCAGGTGAAAGCTGAACACGTGTATCAATCTCTGCATTTGTTTGCACACAGCGCTTCATCACGCCGAGATTATTAGTTGCTTTCTTTACGTTAATGGAAGAAAACAACAATCACGAGTGTCAATTTTTATTCCTTTGGATCGGTCAGTGCCCCCTCCCAGTTCAATTCTGGCACAAACATACTGACTTGTAAGGTCAGAGGCAGCCAAGCGAACACCAGAATACGTAGCTGACGTAAAACGCATGTCTGAGCAGGCAATAATGACCAAAATACGTGTGCTTTGATCCCACATACCAGGCTTAAATCAAAATTCAAATACTTTTGTAACTGGCTGCAAAAATACCCTTGTTTTGCAATATTTCCCCATGTGTCATGTGCAGCGCCTCGATCAGGCTACCAGAAGCGCGTTTTTCAGTGGCAAATGGAAGCCCATTCCCTACTTTGGAGTAAGCCCATTCGTCGCCTATGACGTCACGGCGCAAGCTTATTCGCCAAGGCCGAAAGGCGAAGGAAGTGCGTTTATACGTGTGTTTGTTTGCAAACAAGTCATCGCTGTTGGCATGACAACGCCTACCAATGACCCATGCGCTTTTGGCGGTCTTGAATGCCTGGAAATAGGCAGTTCTCGATTGCATATGGATATTGTGATCGACAGTGATGTATTCATCCGTGGATTTTGTCAATAACTGCTCATTCGATCGATATGCAAGCGCGTCAATCCCGCGCCCTACGTGGGGTTGAATCAGCTGATGCTACATGTGCCCATATTTGGATTCAAAGGCGTTCTTCATTGGCATGTGTCTGTGACGCAACCTCAACGGGCAGAGTTTGGGTCGTAAGTCAATGGGGAACCGGGCCCAATACTTGAAACAGTTGTCAAATAGCCAGTTGCATCTTCAAAGCAATGTCATAAATGTAGGCTTGATTACACCATACCCTGAAATAAGCCTGAACATCTTCAATCCGGTTCAGCTTGATTCAGTGAATGAAAACATGACAGACATTCTCCACTCACTGCAGACGCAATAGTACTACATCATCCACTCTTTCACTTTTAACTTGCAAGCTTCATTACCATCGGCATTTGTTCGCTACCATAATGAAGCATTTATTGACACCAGCAGAAAATATGTGTCGTGATTGGTTAGCTGGCAGCTATCGCCGGCCCATATTTACCGATTAGAAATGGTTTTAAAACTTCTTTTTATCAAATTCCAATTTTCAGCTCAACAAGGGTTCATTCTGCCTCCTGGTAACTGGCAAGAAGTAGAGTGACAATTACTGTGGCAGAAGTGGCAATCATTGTAGTGTGGAGCTGTTCTGGTGCGTGTGGTACATGAAAAGAACGGTTATTGGATGACGCAGGCTTCATAAAGTTCAGTATGTGCCTGCGTTGTGGCCTTAAACATTCGCATTTAAGCCATAGCCCTTTCCCGCAGCATAACTGACCTATTGCTTACCTAGGTACATACGTAGCTTACGTGATGCATCAGCGACATTCGTGACTTATAGCTGAACTTTGAGCTTTGTGTCTTCAGCGTGGCTGACCACATCCCACATACTTTTGATTGAAAGTGTAGCTTTGTGCCTGAGCCAGACATTGGCTTAGCTCATTGAATACATTTGTCGAGCAGAATGTATCCTATCATATCACATCATTATCATATTGTTGATGTAGATATGCCCCTGCGTTATGCATTAGTTTACACATAACACAAAATTGAGTTAGCGTGTTTTTCAGGAGAATTTGCTTACATGGTAGGGGG